CTAAATGAATCCGAATTATCTGTTTAGAAAGTGGTCACAGCTACCTGGTTTGCATGTGCAATGAAATTTAGACCAATGATTCGAGCGGAAGCGAGATGAGCGACTAGGTTATCACCAACAAACCTCAAATGGCTGACCAGCTCTAGGTTTCTACACCACTGGGACTCGGCGATCATGGTGTCATACGATTCAGATTCGGACACACCACGAAAATGATACGGTCGACAGGGTCCCCTCGCTGGAACCTACGTAAGGCCGACATTCCCGGCATGCGAACCTTCTTGGAGTCAGCTCCATAGCCCTTTACCCCTTTGGGTGTCCACGATCATTGAAGCGAAGTGAAGGGGATTCTCACCGAGGTCATGCATTGGTTTGTACTACGGACACACGTCCGACCATTCAAACCGAAACATCGACTGCGTCGCCGTACAATTAAGCCCTTGGCACGAAAAAGACCCGTGTGAAACCAAAACCAATGGTCCTAGAGCTCTCACGACTAAGAGGTGTATGTTGAGCTGCGTAATCAATCTACTTACAGAGAAAGCAAGAAAAAAAGCGAGTACCAGCGACAGTTCTTAAACCGGGTCATTGCAGACCCCAGGAGTTTCTATAGGGACATCTCCATGGTGAATCAGACGGAACCCGGGATCATAAACATCCGTCGTGCGGATGGGACCCTTGTGGATGGCAACACAGGTGCAGCTAGCACCCTGGCTGAGTACTACTCAACGTTGTTCATCCCAGAAAATGTTAATCGGACAGACGGAAGCGGTCTTCCCGCAAAAGACCCTATATCCAGCAGGTTCATGGAATTTGTGTCGTTTTCTCTGGCGCAGGTTGGACTAACACTGGTTGGTATCGCAGTTCAAACTTCACCGCGCCTTGACGAGATACCACCTATCGTATTGTAGCAGTGCGCAGAGCAGTTAGCACTACTCCTAAGCAGACTTTTCAAGCACTAGACGTGGTCCAGGACGCGTGGAAGACATGTGTGGTCTCCCCCATATACTAGTCAACGAACCGAACCTTACCAAACAAATATCTTCCACTAGCCCTGGTCTCGATGGTCTCAAAAGTAATGGAGAGTTTTATTGACGGCGAAATCAGTGAGTTTGTCAAGCGAGATAGTTGCTTGCACAATACTCAGCACGGGTTTTGTCGGAAGCGATCCTTCCAAACCAACTTCATTGAAACCATGGAGTGGTATACATCTGCTGCGGACAGGAGGATGCAAATGAACGTAGTCATGCTAGATTTTTCGAAGGTCTTCGGTAGAGTTTGTCACCATCTACTAGTAGAGAATCTGGAGAACCTAAGATTTCCCAAACATCTAATCGCTTGGGTCTCAGGCTATCTGTGCGATCGAACCTTCCAAGTTCCAGAAAACCGCATTCTCTCGGATGGGTTTGGAGCACCCATTGGGGTACCCCAGGGCTCTTTCTTAAACCCCAAACTGCTCACAGTATCTGTGCACGATTTCCCTATAGGCATACAATCAAACTTACTAATGTATACAGATAGAGTTAACTTCTGCCGGGAGATTTGACGCACAGTAGATAAGTGTACCGTGCAAGAGGTCCGACAGAGAAGTTTTACCTAGTCGCTCGCAAATGGTTTACCGTTTAACTCTGATAAATGCAAAATTATGCACATTTCAGGGAGCCACACAAACGACTACTCGTTGGGAGGTAAAACGGTACAGAGAGACAGGCACGAAAGGGACCTGGGCACAGTCATTGTCGATGATCTGTCCCAGCAAACTAACTGCAACACACTGGCAATGCTCAAACCCAACCAACTCAGCCGATTTCCGGGGAAATTCACACCAGAGTCCTTCCGCAAGATCTTCGCTACAGTCATTAGGCCATGTTTAGAGATCAACATCCAAGCGTGCCTACGACTGCTTGGGACAGATAACGACGCCAGTAAGCGTGCACAGAGGAGAGCCACCAAACGAGTACAGGGCCTGTCACGCACATGCTACCCGGACAGACTCCGTTCGCCTAACATGTATAGCAAGAGCAAGGATCGACATGATCCTCCTGAGGGACACGCTAAGAGTTCAGGGGGACCTTAATAGGCATCTGTTTACAATGGCCGTTCCGTCAGCACTGCGAGGGCCACTCCATGAAACTGGAGAGGCAGTATCCCAGACTGAGAGCCCGGGAACACTGTTTCTCCATATATGTATAGCGCCCTTGGAACTCACTGACAACGATGGTAGTCTAAGCTATGAGTAAACATACGTTCAAAGAGCAACTTGACCAACACACAGCCCAACACAGCCCAACAGTACCCTAGCACTCCGTTTGACATACCGTTACCGGCAATCGGAATGACCCCAACGTGGGGCATCTAAGCACCGGCATTTGATTGCTGCGATTTCGCACAGTGTGTATGTTTGCAGATGAGGAGACGTGGAATTGCCACCTCCTAAATCTCATCTTTACTCTGTCCTCGCTGATGGCAGAGCTGCATTCTGCAAATACGGCCGGAGACCGGTCGGCTGGTCACTCGGTACGTATCACGAAAATCTACTCACCCCGGTGATAGAACACTCATCCATCACTAGACTCAACCCTCATTCAAGCAAGGCAGCAGATATTTCATCTCTTATGGACTAGAAAATAACCTATAATGATAAAAGTACACTCATCAGCTAGACAATAATGCGAAAAACCCTCAAAAGTTAGTTACTCGTGATAGGATAAACTCGGGTCGGCTCCCAGTGCCCTACGGTGTTGAACGCGGTAAAAATATGAAATCAAAAAGAAGGGTACCTACCAGGTAACAACCGCAGGAGTCATCAAAATAGCGAGTTAACCCGGAAACCGATTAGGTAGACAAAAATGAGAGGAAAAACAAAAGTGAGGAAAAAAGAAATGAAACGTACAGGTGGTTTGGTGAGAGAATCTCTCTCGATTAATCACTCACACAGTGCATTCGCCTACACATCCAAATTCTGGTCGGAGCCGCCGAGAAGAACTGTATCAACCTGCAGGTTCAGTTTCAAGTATGCTTTGGATACCCTTCTGTCAAGGTAAGGGCGGAGACCCACTCCATCCCGTCCATCTACCTAATGCACTGCTTTTCTTTTTCACCCCTACTGCTGGAAAAATGAATTTATGGTCTGGTTGTGCGTCCTGGCTGTCTGGAACGGTTTCTTAAACAGTTGGTGCCATTGGAACACTGCGAAGCGTTTGTTGACGAGTGCCTTACGAACCACATTTATGTGGTGTTGACTAGTGTTTGCGTAAGAGCACAGGATAACACAGTTAAACAGCAACGCTCCTAACCGTCTCTCGTTTCAGACACAATCGGATATCGAGTAACAGACAGCTTCTTCCGTCACAGAGCAGGGAAAGTACCATCAGAACCCGGAATACTCGAAAACTTCGGTTATCAAGCCCATAAATTCCCGTTAACCTCCATGAATCCTAATGAACTCCTTCCAATTACAAGGTATCCCTTTCTCCTTTACATCCTACTTTCTGAGGACAAGTAATCTTCCATTCCCAAGGTCCTTTCTGTTTACGGGTCCCCTGAGCTGAAGGGAGTTGGGCTATCACGTTGTCCCTGAAACTATCTCTCATACTATTCGACTACTTTGATAACACTTGGAACACTGCAGAGGAAAATATTAGTTGAATTAGACCGGACCTTTCGAACTGCTAAGTTCTATTGAAGTTGCCTTTCCTTTGCATTGTTGCCTATCCTATCATTACCACAACAGTGAAGGATTGCCAAACCACAGACGAAGAACTCGTAGACAATTAAAGGCTCACGTATTGTCGAGTTCCCCATCTACATTACCCTCTTTACCTTTACCGTGCCATGATGTACAGTACAATTTCCTGATTCGTTACGAGTCTTCTCGCGTGACTGCCTATTACCAAATTGACGACTGCCAGGATTCAAGATCTCAATATGCCAAAGACTCCCAAAAGCAAAGATGCAATCGCACAGACGGGAAATACAAGCAGCGAGCAGCTGTCAAGTGTTCCGAGTGCGCTGACTGAGCGACTACAAAAACTATATACTATGGGAGAAACAGGAGAATATCAACGATAGAGACAATTTCCAGCTGTGGGAGAAGTAGGTGAGAATATATCTGGTGTTATCTCTGCTTGGTGGTAATGCCTTTGATATGGTAACCGAAGTGTACTGCGTAAAGGGAGGTCTGAGAACAGAGACATTTGTGTGTCTCTGATCGCTTGATTCACCCCTATTGCCCATGAAATACAGAAGACAGTTTGACGCACACCACAAATATGACGGAGAAGGCGTCCTAAGTTTTATTCGGTAATCACGGCGACTGGTCGGTAGGGGGTGGGGGAACTACTCGCCCCCAAAACTGGAAAAGAAGTTAATGGAACAATTTATCGAGGGGACCCGGTCCAATAACTTCCGATGGCATCTGCTCCTGCACCCGCCAGTTGATTTTGAGGCATCGGGCAAACTTGTTGAAGATCTGAAAAAGCTGGAGGTGGCTACATCTGCACCGCGGGAATGCATGGTAGTGGGAGACAATGCTGGGATGGAAGTTGGATACCAACCGGGACACAGAGGCCAAGAAATGCAACGACCGTGACACCCGAACTATCGATTTTAGCACAGACCACAAATCCGTCGGCATAACAGGACATACAACTACGGTGCACAATGATCTGGTGAGTTTGATGGAAACAGAACATTGAACATCCCAACTTTTGTTTCCAGTCGAACAGCCACGACAGGTTAATGATGAAGCTGACAGTTTGTAATCTTATATGCTTAGCGCTTATAGATACAGGTACCTTCCGGGAACCATAAAAAAATCGGTTCTGCGTGAAATGAAAGGATATACCAAGACTCCATGGTTTGAGCACCTCACTCCGACCAACGGCGCGCCGATTTGTCCTAGGGACTACGGTCGCTAAAATAGCGCTAGTGGGTCAGGTACGGAATCACCCCATGCTAGTCGCCGAAGGTATCCCATACGATGAAATCTTGGGAATGGACGTGTTACGTAGATGGGAATGCACTCTGAACTTGAATAATTGGCAGTTGGTGACCCGATTCTCTCAGTTTTGTTTATGCTGCACGACCCGAAAACGAAAGGTGGGCGTATATGGTATTTAAACACAGTTATCGTCCGTAGAGAAATATATCGAGAATTTAGCTACTAGACTGAAGGACAAATATGATGACAGAATCATAAGTCAGCTATTCAACGTTCGCCGAGAAAAATCCGATATGTTTTCCTGGAACAAAGCTTATTTCGGGTGCACAGGGGTGTCATAACAATAAATCGAGATTTGAGATGCAGTGCCGATCAGGACCCCACTGGTTAGGATACCGATGCAACTGCAAGAGGAGGTACATGAATTAATGACAGAGTTATTGCAGAGTAACTTTATCCGGGTATCTAAATCACCGTGAGCGTCCCCTTGACAAGAAAAAGGGCGGTAGTTCGCGCAAGTGCACAGATTACCGAAGACTCAACCAAGTGACGAAGCCGGACACGTTGCCAATCCTCAGAATACATATACTATTCGACAGTCTCGGGAGACCGATCTGTTTTACGCCANCCTGGCTTCGGGTTGATGGCAGGTAGAGATGGGGGAGAAAGACCAACCCGAGACGGCGTTGTGCCTACCGGGTTATATGAATTTCATACCATGTCGTTTGGACTAACGAACGCACCAGCCACGTTTCAGCGAATAATAATAATATTAATGAAGGTTTATTTCACGAAGCCCCGTGAAGCATGCAGAAGCATGATCATATGCACAACACAGTCATATGTACAAGAAAATCGCAAATTATTTTGAAAGTCGCAGTGAACTGGTGCATAAAGGGAAGAGTGTACTCGAGAGCGAGCTGAACGGGATTGCACGCTGCAAAACAAATGAAACACAAAGCGAATAAGTTCACTGGGGAAAATGGCGAGGATGGCGGAGTGCTTTAGCAGAGCATGTCTGTCAAAATAGACCAAAGCAGGAATCGTTATACCAGATAAACGGTGGAATGTTTGGACGTGCAGCGATCAAGGTTTGAAATGAGGAGATACGGTCGGCGGATCGATGTACAGGAAACTGTGGAAACAGGTACAAGAAAGGATCAGATGAAAAAGAACAGAGTTGAAGCGTCTGTCAAAGTATATATATGTATATGTCAAAGTATATGTATTCACTATACGGTGCGACTCACTTTACTTCAGTGAAGACACTTTCGATGGCTTCGGGGGCTTCGATCACTAATGGATGATTTGGGTTATTTAGATTATTTGAGCGCTGGTCACTTTGATGTGGGAGTGACTACATGTTAGGCACCCAACCTTATATCACCTTGTAAGTGAGGCAGAGGATGTGTTCCTCAACCTGGTCTGGATTGCGGCCACGTGAAATCAAAGCGGTGGATACAGCCGCGCCCAAAACCGGTACCAAATTGTCCATCGCGGGTGTAGACCCCAATCCTTCGTCAGGCCCAAGTCAAACGCATCTGCAATAAGAAGGTGAAACTCGGCAGTCTGGGGTGACACCCAACTGAAAAGGGGAAGCGTGAGAGACACAGCGAGAGGCAAACGAAAATTCTAAATAAGGTTAGTAATAAGGTGCTGTAGTCTGAGAAGACATTCACCACGGATTGCCAATTCCACTTCTAGAGTTTTTAAACTGAAGAAGTGTACTGTAGATGAGGGTAGATTAAGCCATACAGGACACAAATAGTTGAGAGTCAGTTATAGTTTAGTGAGGAGGAGGGTCCAAGGTTTATTGGGGAACATCACTTTTTAAAAGGATTCACCGAACGGGATCGGTTTCACTTCTGGAGCCTTAAAACTCTCGAATTGTATGTATATTTGGCAAGATGAGATGAAATGTGAACACAACTGCCGCATCAGTATGTCAAAGTTAGAGAAGAGGTGCTACAAGATCTAGCGTAGAGTAAGTGTTTGATATACTCCGATGAGGTTATTATCCACGGAAAATCGCCAGCTGAGAACTTGCAGGTAATACTCCGGAGCATGGAGAGTTGTTTGAAGCTAAAACCATCTAAATGCCACAAGAGGTCTCTTACCTGGGTCACATAGTATCTGAGACAGCAGTTCTCACCGATCCGCAGGTTCTCCAAGTGCAATCGTGGCTTCCTGGGTCTTACAGATGGTTTTTAGTTGACTTCTCAAGAATAGCCGCCCCATTCAACGTGTTATTAGAAAAAGGGCAGGCATTTCTATGGGATACAGTGTGCGAGGAAGCGTTTGAAACGTTGCGAACCAAACTATGTTCAGTGCCAATCCTGGCTTTTCCCGACGTATCCTTCTCAGGCGGAAGCTTTATCCTCGACACTGACGCTAGTGATGTACTAATTGGTGCAGTATTATCACAACTGGAAGTTAATGGGGGTTAACGGGTTATAGCCCATGGAAGCCGTAGTCTAGAGTCTGAAAGAAACTACTGTGATACCAGCCGGGGAGGTGCTAGCACTGGTATTTTTCATAAAGTACTACCGACACTGTTTAATGGATAAGCGATTCATTGATCGCATGGATCACCACCCCTTGCAATGGTTACAGAACTTCCGAGATCTAGAGGGACGAATGGCGAGATGACAGGAAGCGTTACAAGAATATGATTTTGATTNNNNGTCATCTACAAGGAAAACGGTTTACGAACGCGGATTCCTTGTCAAGAAGACTGGTCCGTAACCAGGGGGATTGCCCGTCTTGCAAAGAACAGTATCTAACGTTGGCTAGCCTTGAGGGTGCAGAGTACAAACGCTGGACGCACGTACATTCCACAGATGCAGAGACGGCATTAATTTACCAAAGGATAAAAGAAAATTAGGAGAAACCAGAAGGGAAAGAAATGGAACGAAAGCAAGTTTCCATGGGCGTTATGGCATAAATTAGTCTTGAGAGAGAGTTTAATCTTCTTCCATTCTGGGGAGAATTATACGAGTCGGATCATCGTCCCTCAGTCCATGACGAAAGAAGTCTTGACGAACATTCACCAACAGTTGGGTCACGCAGGAACGAACAAACTTGAGTTTGCAGCCTAGCAGAGGTTTTGATAGCCCCACATGCGGAGGGATGTGAGAAATTTGTGCGCTTCATGCAAATGATGTGGCAGTTTCAAAAACTAACGGATGGCCTTTCGTGGCCCATTACCGACGATGTCCGCGGGATGCCCAAAAGAAATGGTAGGTGTGTTTACCATGGGGCCCCTTCCTGTGAAGAAGAGCAAATAAATACATCCTTGTGGTAGGAGATTATTTCACAAAGTGATGTGAAGACTTCTCACTGAAATACGTCGATGCCACTAAAAATTCCAACGCACCAGTGGAACAATGAATTTGAAAATGGGGTGGTCTAAACCAACTATACCCTGATAAATGAAGGAACTTCGAAAGCGCTCCAATGCACAAATCATGCGGGGTATTGGGAATAGAAACACACGAACCCCCGCATATCACAATGAAGGAAGTCAGCTAGTGAAGAGGAGGTCACTCAAGGCATTGCTCGAGGCGTTTACGGATAATGTGTTGGATTGGGACATCATACTTAGAAAGTGCCTGTTAGCTTACCTTAGCTCGGTTCACGCTTCCACGGAACACACCCCTCACTTCCTGTGGACGGGTAGGGAAGTCCGACTTCCATCGGATACAAGACTAGCAGCGGTAACATAGCCACGCCCCACGGTGGCAGACTACGTGTGCTAGGTTCTCGATAAGCTCCGCGGGGCGCAACAGGCGGCGCGAACACAATTACAAACTGCTCAGAGACAGAAAATCGTTTGGGACGCCCTGCCGAGTGGGGCAGATGGCGTGGTTAAACGTGAGTAGGCCGAATTGCCGTCGAAACTACACAAGGAAAGTCGTGGCCCGTATGAGGCGATCAAAGTGCCCTCCTATGTAAAATACGTAATTAGGGCTGTAAATCAAACTAACATCCAGTCGACGGGAGTTCATTTCAACCGTCTGAAACCGTATACCAGGCAGGAAGAAGGCAACGACCCGATACCACATGTGGAATAAGAGCTCGAAATAACAGCGCAAGGTAGCATGGGAGTAGCATCGGGGACGGTGCTGTCAATGAGGAGGAGACTGTGTAGAAAACATTATTTTAATAAGACCGGACATTTTTAACTGCAAGGCTCTATAATAACAACAACAATGGTACATTTCACGACGAAAGCCGTGAGGCATGCTAGGGTGCACGGTCATTTTTACAATAAATGGTAGAACATTTGGGTCGACAGAGTTAGTGGGGGTAAAAACAACGGAACGCGATTATGTTTGCAAGTGCAGGAGACTTAAAATTTTTAATTCCGGAAAAGTTAGTTATGCTGTACGCAAATGCGTGCAGCATCCATAATAAGCGGGCAGAGCTAGGGGTCATAACTGAGGACCTCAAAACTACAATGATCGCTGTCTCTTAAACATGGTTAAATGAAAGCAACCACGTACAACATGCCATCACGAACAGCTTTGAGATCCACAGACGGGATCGAGAAGGACAAGTGCAAGGTGGAGGAATAACGCCTCTCATTCGCAAAGAAACTCCCCACAGGAAATTGGACATAGAAGTTCGCACTCTTAATATACAAACGT